TTCATGGTCAACGCCCCCTTGGTTATGTGCTCGCTCAGCGTCGACTTCATCCAAGCACTCAGGTGAGCATTCACTGATTTCATGGCTTCGATATCTTCCTATTTATCACCTAATGGATACTTCTCAGTTTTTCACTTTCCACTGCCCAATGTTCGTTTTAATTTATTTATGCACTTTACAAAATAGTTCTGTGACTCGTCTTTATACAAGCAGAAGTAGATGCCAAATATTACGAAGTTATTAGGGTTGCAAAATGCATTTTGGTGGGAAAATCCCTGGAAGATTTTCGTTCTGTGCAATGAGTAGAATGCCTGTATCTCTGCATGCTAACACTGCATTATTTAGATAATATTTTCATGAGAGACTGATGGAATATTTCGTTGTATATCGATTTAATTCAACCAGAAACTGAAATTCTTGGAAGTGATATAGAACTGTTCGCTCCTGGTTGTGTTTTATTCTTACACGGATTTCACTGTACTAAAGATATAACCCTGAAACCTAACGGGTTCTTTAGTTATATTTGAGACAATTTAGCTCTTACGCGATTTCAATCGTATCCAATAGTAAAACTAAACAGTTGAAAAAAGCTTCCGACGGATAGCACGCGCTACAAAAAATGTTCAGCTTGTGTTCCAATGCACTTGGCCATGTCGTTTCGCAACCACATTAGTGTGATCTTTTGCACCTTAACTCGAATTTTGTAACTCATTACTTCAACTCGGTGTAACGCCTAAAGCTTTCACAACTCCTAAAGGTCTGACCGGGTTCAATAACCTTTCACTAGCTACACTTCTCGGCAAATGTTTTTCTTCAGCGAGACTCAGCTAGAAATCGGTATCGTAAGCTGTGGCGGTGTGACACCTTATTCAATAATCGGTCGTGGTCACTTGATATCGTAAGTCCTATCTTAGTGCCGCTGGTGGCGTCGCTTCTAACCAGTGCTGCCTAGGTAATGAGTTAAGCACTCAGTCGCCCTTGCCCCATTTCGTAGGCGTGAAAGGCGCAAATGTTTCGATGCATTTAGTGACGAAATTTTGCAGCGTTATTACGAAGCTGGAAAACCAACGGAATACCAAATCATATGCACGTCTTTGTGCTATAGACGAATTGTCCCCGAATACAGCAAACCGTGGCAGACTGGAAAACACTATCAGGACACAGGGTCCAGTGTGTGGGTGTGGGTAGAGGCTGTGGATGGATCGCATTGATAATTGAGAAGCAAACTTCCCCTTATTTGCCAATCAGTTAAGTTTCCATGAAGGAGATTTTGTCTTTGAATGTGTGTGGAAATCGAGTCATGTCAGTTTTTGGACGTACACTGTACCTGGGTGAAAAAGGAATTTTCGCATTTCGATACGGCCTTAGGCATCCATTCATGAAAGGAGATTCAGGATTTCATCCTACCTGTAACCGATTGCTACATGGCAGAATCCAGTCCATTGCCGTAAAGTAAAGATGTAATCCGATGTCAATTTTTTGAGATAGGTCGATGCTGGAATTTGTGGTCTCCCTAGTCACGTATGTCAAGCGGTTGGTGCTATCGCTTCAATCGGTGAATCTTTGAGTTACACTCTTCGTATTGATTTAGGCATTCATTTTCGGTATTCGAGTATTCACCAACAAACGCAAAATATCTTGAACTGAAAGAGACAAATCGTGGTATTTTATTTGGCGAACAAGTGTCGGTACTTTAGGCTATTATTATCAACTGAGCATAACTGTCAAACAGCGGTATTTTGTGAAATGTTGATGAATTTTTTTTCGCTCTCTCACTCTCTGTCTCCAAAGGAATACTTTTTGATCTTTATCTAAGCGCTGAGTTTAAACTGTGAATGAGATGGACGGTTTCAGTAGTGCATTCTTTGTATTTGTTATATCACACAAAATTTATCATGCTCTACGTCTCCTTCATTCTCCTCAGGCTGCTTTATTGCTCACTCTCGTTCGCGGCGGTGCTCATTTGGATGCCACCGATCGCAGTGGCCTGCACGCGTTAGACCCAATGTTCCGTCATGTGGTTGCTGAGTCCCGTTGTCGGGTGCTCGAACATATCACACTAGCCTGTCAAGCGGCTCGCGTGGCTCGTCGTTCTGGTTTCACTGCTCGTAACCCGTTCCTCCGGGCACGCCTTCCAGAATATTTGTTGTCGTTCATAGAGTTGCACTAGCTTGGTGAAGCTATTGTGGACGTTGTACGGCTGGGCGAGAGATATTGTCTCGTCTTCTTAACCACAGACAAGTGTGTATAATATGCAGCTGTCTGACACCTGTTTTACCTTTCAGCATGTGGGACGTGATTGAATTTTTGTCTGTTTGTACAAAGCATACACCTTCTATATTGTTTTACCCCTATAGTCTAACTACAGGGTACACTGTGATCCACTTGTTGCTATAACGTTTCTTCATGGCGGCATTTTCACTTTTTCCTCATTCCCCCACCAACTCTGACTACATC